TGCTTCCCTTTCGGTGGGTGGGAAAGCCCTGGCGATGGAGGGCCCGTCCCGGCCTGTGGGCTGAGCAGGGTCTGGCCCCGCGCCCCCCCGGGGCCGGCCTGCTGAACGTGAGAGCCTCCGGGCCTCGGCCGACACCCACTGTGGACCGGGACAGTCCCGCCGGCTTAGGCGAGACAGGTCTGGATGAGTTCTGATCCTGGCTCTGGGAAACCAAAACGTTTGGAAACTCACAACTAACTTGTTTTGGAATATTTTCGCAACTGGCTATTTGCATCCTCCATGTAGGAAAGTTGCTTCTACCTGCTGTACAAGAAGCCCCCCACCCACCCTCCCACCCAAAAAGTTACACAAATGTAGTCCTGTAGTTTCCTATTTGCCTTTATTTCTTATTTCCTTCCCAGATATAAACATTTATTTTCTATTTATTTATTTATTTATTTATAAAAAAAAAAACCCGAATGGCTTAAGATGCCTCACTGACCAAGCCAGCATGGTGTTTGCATTCTTGGAAGCCTTGATTAAAAATCCCCCTGATGCAATGTAGAAAATGGCACGCTGTACTTTTTTAGAGCTAAATGCTTTGCCATCTAGTTGTATCACTTGCTATAATTAGTCTTCAAAGATAACATATCCAATATTTTCATTTTCACTATAGATTCTTGCATCAAAAAGCTTTAATTAGTTATTCTTGTCATTCATCCTGTCACCACTACTCATTTTAAGGTGACTTGTGGTCTAGGTGGGAAGGTGAAGCACATGCTTGTCAACTTGAAGTCCTTCTTATCTACGCCTCAGCTTGCTCTTCTTGAAGTAAGCTACATGAAAACTTTCCCTCTTGACTGATTGATTGACCCTGCTTTTCTTGGGAATATTCTCGGCAAACTTAGCCCAAGACCTGAACAATTCCTGAAAGCGAGTCCCATGGGGGAATTTTGTCTGGGGGCTTAATCAGTGTCCCTGCTCAGGCTGCTGTGTTTTCAGGGTTGAGGCCTCTAATCCAGGAACAGACTAAGGCATCTTTGACTAGCTTCTGGGTGGATTTCCCCCTTCTTGCGCAAACAGAGAGCCTTTGCGTCTCTGGATTATGAAGATTGCCTCCCAGATTAAATTTGAGGGTGGCCCTTCCAGAGCGTGGTATAATTTGTAGAAAATCTCGTCCTGGGCACAACTTTTGTAATCCGTTCGGGTTCCTAACAGTTTCCATCTGTAAGGTTATCTCTCTCTCTCTCTCTTTTTGGTTGATTTTGTTCTCGTCCAGACCCGATGCGAGATGGAGAAATACCTGAACCCCCAGCTTCCTCCCGTGCCCCCCCTCCCAGAGCACAAGAAGTACCGCCGGGACAGTGCTTCAGTGGTGGATCAATTCTTCACCAACAGTGACGGTGTGCCTTACAGCGTCAACATGAACCTCTACCTGCCGGACCTGACCCAGCTGAGGACAGGCCTGTACAAAGCCCAGAGGGCACCCGTGACCCACATCAAGACGGAGCCGGTGGCCACCTTCAGCCACCAGAGCGAAACGGCTCCCGCTGCCCCCGGCACCGCCCAGGCGCTCCCTGAGTTTACGAGCATCTTCAGCCCCCACCAGACGCCGGACGTGAACAGCCTCTTCATCAAGCAGGAGCTCTCTGCCCCGGAGCTGAGCCTCTCCATCCCCACACCCCAGCAGGGCCAGCTGTACCAGCTCCTCAGCTCCCCAGATTTAGACCTGCCGAACACGGCCCCCCAGGCCGCAGGGATGGACCACCTCAACAGCGTCTCCATGTCTTCCTCCATGGCGGGCCTGAGCACCCTGTCTTCGGCCATGCCACAGACCCCCATGAAGCAGTTCCACGGGGTGCCTCCCTGCACGTACGCGATGCCCAGTCAGTTTCTGCAGCAACAAGCCACTTACTTCCCCCCTTCCCCTCCAAGTTCGGAGCCTGGCAGCCCCGACCGACAGGCGGAAATGATGCAGAATTTAACCCCTCCTCCGTCGTACGCCGCTACGATAGCTTCCAAGTTGGCCATCCACAATCCAGCTTTGACCACAAGCATCCCAATGAATTCACCGAGCATCCCAACCGTCAGATATAATCGGAGGAGTAACCCAGATTTGGAGAAGAGGCGGATTCATTACTGTGACTACCCTGGTAAGCTTGGAAAAGAGTGGGCCGCTGCTCTCCTCCAGAACGTCTGTCTCCCTCTTGGACAGACAGACAGGCAGACAGACATGTTTGCGGCTAGCGCCGTTCTAGAAACTCCTCCCAATGTTCGTTCTTTCTTTCTTTCTTTCTTTCTTTCTTTCTTTCTTTCTTTCTTTCTTTCTTTCTTTCTTGCAACATATATAGGGAGGGATCATCTGCTATAATGTAGCATTTTGTCCATGTATATTGTTTAAAAAGAAAGAAACGTTGAATAAAATAATTACACCTTAAGCATTTGCAAGGATTGAATATAAATTTATGCCAACGGCATAGGCCAGCATTCCACGTCTGAGCACCTGAACATCCCCATGAGCTTTTTGGGTGAGAACGATGGGAAATGTAGTTCACTCACCTGGGTGGCAAAGACTAGCAGGGATAGCTGCTTGAACAGAAGTGCGCTCACCCTCTTCTTCATCTTTCGGAGCAAAGGCATTTTGCCTCCAGGCAACGTTTTTGCTCCTTGACGGCTGTTTTCCGTGACCAGAAATAGGTTAAAATAAAGGATGAGTGTCTTCCCAGACAGATAACAGATAAATTCTGTTATTTGTTAGTAACTGATTCTGCTGTTGAACACATAGCTTATAGAAGAAGTGGATGTGAGAGGCATAAACATGGAAAGCAGAAGATTCTTGATTGATTGATTCAACTCATGTTTAGGAAGGTAAACGTACTGAGCTGAAAATTTAGGTGCGGTTGATTGTGATGTGTGTGTATCCCTATCAGCTATCTTTTTGCCCTGTGCAGAAGCTGGAAATTGGGATAACTTTCTTAAATAAATTAGTACCACCAGTTAGATCTACCAGCAGCATTTCAGTTTTATGCTGAACAAGTGTTAATGTTTTCTAGACATAGATGCACTTGACACATCTCTTTTTGATTTTCTATCCTAGGTTGCACTAAAGTGTACACGAAATCTTCCCACTTAAAAGCACACCTGCGAACTCACACTGGTACGTGGTTTATGGTGGTTATGAATTTCCTATAAATATAAGTTAGCCATCCTGTTTTCTCTGCTTTGCTTGAAAGATGTAACTTGGTTTGCTTCAAACTGAGAGTTATAAATCAGCCACACTGGTTAATGAAATGAAAGGGGACACTTTTAAGCTTCAGAAAATAAAGAGGCTTAATTTGAACAGTGAATAAATGCCCTCTTTGAAGCCCTGTTTCTTCCCACCCACCCCCAAACCAGCTGAATTATGCTGTCATTTAATGGATGGAATCTTTGCGTTGTTTCTGTGCATCAAACCTTGGTTTAATTCCACTGAAGCCATGATTTTGTAATGTGAAGTTGAATGTTAGCCAGCAGAACTTTTGAGGACATCTGCTTAGGGTTACACTGCAAATCTTAAAGGCCCTTGCCCTCATTCATTTCATAAAAATACATTTCGGAGTAATCGTTTTCCTGCCCAGCAGCCTGCTCTCTGTTCAGCGGTAAGCCGTATACCAAATTAAATGAACGATAAACATTCCTTGAGGTTGGGTTCCATGATAAATGCTGCTTTCTTTCATGAGTTGAGTGACCACACTTGGTATGTGATAAACTTGACAACTCTGTTCTGAGATTGTACGAATGGTGAACCAGGTGTTGCTCGCTGGCTCTAAACACGGTTTAGAGGCTTAGTGGCTCCCTTCCCTTGATGGATCTTGCTTGGCGGAGGTGGAGGAATAGATGCCCGTTGTGCCAAAAGGGTCAGGAAATGTGGCCGGTTGATTCTAAATATGTAGGTTTTTCATGGGTCGTTGAGTCAGCCTGTAGTATAAAATACGTTTCAGAACAGACTGCCGTCTAAGTGGTGCTTTGCAGGGACATTCCTGTGCGTGGAAAATAGACCAGATTCGGTCTCTGGAATATGGGGCAGGACCAGCCAGGAGGAGCCTCTGCCCAGCAGAAGCTAATGACTCAGCACAGATTTGATATGAAGCTGCTTGGAGGGCCTTAACCTGAAGTTACCTAAAATGCCACCAGTTAAAATGCTTTAAACCATTTGGGTGATAACACCGGACCTTTGTTTCTGTGGCCAAGCCCTTTGAGTTATCAGAACAGCTCTGCGGCTGGAGTTTAGAAGTGCTGGACCTGCGGCTGAAATGGGCTCCCTTCTCCCTCCTTGTAAAGAGCTGAATCTGGTTTTTAAATTGAGAAGAGATCTGAGTCTGGCTTCCCCTGTGGAACAACGGCTTTCATTCAGGGCTTGCTCATTGCTGAATGACTGAAATATCTCCGGGCAAAAAGAGTTACTATGGAAATGAAGTTTTGATAAACGAAGCAGTTATCTCTCAAAGGAGCCATGGCGGGGGGGGGGGGGAAAAGGTTAAAAGCAACTGTCGTAAATGGCCGTAAAAGGGAAGGGTTGCCGGGTTGCCGTACTGGCCCCGCACAGTCCTCTCCCGGGACAGTGGATTTCGTTAATCTGGGCTCACCTCCCTTTGCTCGGCAGTTTTGGTGGGGTTGCTGTTATTTTAGCCGCTGTTGAAAATTTAGGATGATTCATCCTCAGGTGAACGTGCCTCATTGGCCTAGACCTCCAGTGACACCCGGCAAACCATAATGTGGCCTTCTTGTTTTCTGGAACAGTAAGGTGCACAATCTTACTTACTTGAGCTTAGCATGACCTGCAGATGAGGCCACTGTGAATTATAAACTATAAACCATGGTTTAAAAGTCCCATTCTCACTGATCTGTGTGGGCCCTTCGTTCTTGCCTCACACGGGTTGCCAAAGAGGAGTCAGTTTCCTCCCGTTCTGCCCCGATGAATAACTTCCGTAAAAGTGCAGGGGCGGGTGGACCTCCCTGACAGTTGGCAACCTCTCTTTCTGGAAAAGGGGAAGAGCGAAGGTCGCCTCCAGCTGCCACTTGACCTGCCTGCTATGAGCAGGAGCTCTTCCAGGGCCACTTGGCTTCCTGATGGCGTCTAAATTTGGGGAAAGACGTTTCCCAACCCCGCCTGGCAATTGTAGGGCCTGGAGCTACGGTTTCGGCATCACGGCCCGCAGCGCGACTCTAGCCCTGGTCCCAGAAGTAGGCGTGGGAAACTTGTACGTCTCCCGTTTTTGCTGGACTGCGGCTCCCATCATCCCTGACCAGTGCTCACGTTGCTGGGGCAGGAGCAATTTCATAATATGCATGCTGTTAAATAAAAGCGCTACACGCTTTTCCTTACCCGTGGTTACTGTAAATATGTGGGTGCAAAATGTAGTAACGTTTTTTTTCTAAACTTGAAAGTTGTGTAATGCGCTCTGAAAAACTTTGTTTAAAGAGTTGGCTAAAAATAAATAAGCATGTAATAAATAAGCACGGTGGGTTGTACTAGCGGCCTGGTAGACTAACTGTTGGAATGTTAAAACGCCTTATTTTTCCCCAACTGGGTTCGCTCATGCGTTCGTTTAAAGTAACCCAGTGCATGCACAAAACCGAAATGCTCAACTCCAGAAAAAAACTATGACTGAGCTGACGCACAAGGCTATGTAGTTCAAGCCTGGCTTTTTTAAGTAAGCGGCAGTGTCTGTTTTTTCACATCTAGCACAGTAAGCCATAAACTTTGATTGCAAATTATTATGGCTGTGTTGACGTTACACCCAAATCCAACTGCATTACAGATTAGCAAAGTGCGAATCCTGTCTCTCTGCAATACAGTTTTTGTCTTAAAGGTGTGGCTCTGGTAAGGATAATTTCTGCATAATTTCTGCTCACCAACCTGAGCTTTCGATGGCAGTGATTCCCCAAAAGGCTGCAACGCCACAGATACCCGTGGATGATGTTATAAATGGAGAAGCATCATGCAGACGAGGATGTTTTCTCAGAGAGAATCTGAAGTCCTAGAATAAAGCTTGATTTAGTCATTTCTACCAAATGCCAATTTGTTCAACATACTTGCTTGGCTTAACTTTTTTTTCCCTGCAAAGAGAAAAAGGGGGTTCTTAATGAACACTGTAACTTGAAAGCTTTAATAAATGTAGGTCATGAAATACAGGTTATTAAAGTTTTGTGCGATACTCTTTCCAATCTCCTGAGGGCTTTAGCAGACCTGTTTGTCTGGCTCAACCTGTTCTGTAGTATCTGTGGAGGTCCACTGGTAGTTTTCGGTCTTCCGAACAATTCCTCTTAAACCTACTGTTATCCGCCCTTCTTGGCAATCTGTCACTTCGGTTTTTTAGAAAAATAATCAAGCCTGCAGCAGCAGTCGACATTTTTGGAAGTCGAAACAGAAAGTGCGCTGCCTTCTTTGTATTAGAAATCCTGCACCTTCTCATAGTATTTGTTTAGCAACCTGTTTCCACCTGAATAGCTTTCAGTGAGTTCAGTGACATTCCTTCCAGAGCAGACGTGCAGGCAGAAGTGCCAAGAGGTGGAGCGCGGGCCCTGGCCTGCGTCGCCGTTGAGTTCGGAGCAGGCGGGCAGGATTATGGGGCTGCAGAGCATTGGGACCATTCAGATTTCCGGCTCGCGTGGCCCGGGGGAGTGGCAGGGACGGGCTTTGGGAGACGGCCGTGTCTTGCGTAGAGGCACCGGGGCTGCAGAGGCGTCCAGCTGGTTTCCGTCTCTGCTCCTCAGAGACTTAGGTTCCAGGGAGTAGCAGCCGGTGCCTTATCTTCAGCCCCTGAAAACGTCACTCTGATTCTTTTGCCCTCCGGGAGAAGGGATTACAGCTCCCCTCATCCTCAGCCAGCATAGTGGAGGTGGCTGGAGGCTGATTGGCGTCGCTCAGCATCTCTGAAGGGCTCCGGACTGGGAATGGCCGAGTGGGGATTTCCCTTTCAGAGTCAGGTCACAGCGCTCCTCAGGGAAAGAAGTTGGATTTTGGCAGTGTCGTGAGCAGGGCTGTTGGGAAACTGTTGTGTGTTTCCAAAAATGTTTCCAAGTTAGTCACTGGAGCAAATATTGCTTTCTTGTCCTAGAACAGTTCTCTGTGCCAAAGATTGCAATTATACCTAAGGCAATGGGGTGTAAGAGCGATGAGAAATAGCAGGGCTTGGCCAGATTCAGAAGTCACCCAGAACTGTGGTTTGTTTAACCCTGGTTTGAAGTCACACTTGGCTCGAGTCACTTCCTAGACCAAGCTAAGATAACTCCTGTGATGTGTATACTTTTGCATGACTCTTGGGCTTGAAGGTTTAAATAGAAACGACAAAGCCCCACCGGGCCCAACAAGACAGGGTTGCAAGGAGTGAGGTGCTGCCTTTTCCCGCTTACGAGCTGTGGCCTTACCGTAAGAGCCTTGAACGGCTAAAGGAGGTCAGCGGGAAAGATAATGTAATTGGATCCAGAGCTCCTTGGGGACCAGGGTGGCCATGGACAAGCCAAGTTCTTCATCTGAGGTGGTGGTTGCTGCTGCTGCTGCTGCTGCTGCTGCTGTTGCTGTTGCTGCTGTTGTTGTTACGATTGCTTAAATTGATATGCCACCCAACTCCCAGCGCAATGCATTGGCAAGAGGGGAAGGCTTGTTGGATCTTCTCCTGTCTCCCCGCACCTGCTCAAGCTCCATTTCGAGTGTTGCTTTTTGACCTGTCTTCAGACTTGCACGTTGCGGGGCACCTGCTCCCCCCAGGCCAGTGCAATTTGGGAAACATAGGTCGGAAGCCCTTTTGGCCCAGGCAAGCTGCACCTAAGCCTACGGTCAGCCGTAGCGGGTTTACTACATTGAAGCAAGACGTCTTAAGGCTCGACGGAGCTGTGGATAAGGCATTCCCCTTCTGAATGGTTATCCTCACTTTTAAAGTAGGCTTTCTTTTAAAAAGAAGTAAGGGCTATCCGCGGGGTGCGCGGGTCCTTTTCTCCCTCTGGTTGCCTGAGAAGGACCAGCGTCGTCAGCGGCAACCAGGATCCCAATAAATGCCTGCTGCAAAAGTTCCTCTTGCACCATCAGTGCTTAGGTGGTGGCATTATCTGCAAGAGACCTGAAGTCACCTTGTTTGCCAGAAGTCCCGAAAAGGAGGCTATTGGTTTTGGGGGGGGTTTAAAGTTATCTTTTGCACAGTGGAGCACATAGCAGGGGACAGACCCGATCTCAAAAGGTTGGACCCAGTTAGTGTTAGGATGGGAGACCCCCGGGGAACTAGGGAATGGCAAACCACTTCCCTCTTGTCCAGAAAAGTGTCCATTAGGAAGCTCTTGCTTTACGTGACATGAAATGCTTCGTTTCTGCTCTCCCTTCGTTCTCCTCCCAAACTCTTGTCTGATCTTCTGGATCAGTGGCTGGTTTTCCCTCCCAGGCCCAGGGTCTTTGGCCACACGCCTGGCCATTCGTGGTTCCCCAGTTGATGCCAGAAGCTC